TCATACCTCCCTTGGTGCTCCCGGCTCATTCATGTGATCAAAGTCCAATCCCCTTGTTGTGTTTGCCCGTGATCTAATGTCCGCATATCAGGGAGAACATACGATGTTTGGTCTTTTGGGCCAGGCTAACCTCACTCAGAATTATGTTCTCCAGTTCCATCCATTTACCTGCGAATGATAACATTTCATTCTTCTTCGTGGCTGCATAAAATTCCATTGTGTATAAATACCACATTTTCTTAATCCATTCGTCAGCAGTGGGGCATCTTGGCTATTTCCATAACTTGGCTATTGTGAATAGTGCTGCAATAAACATGGGTGTGCAAGTGCCTCTGGAGTAACCTGTGTCACATTCTTTTGGGTATATCCCCAAGAGTGGTATTGCTGGATCATATGGCAGATCTATGTTTACATTTTTAAGAAGCCTCCAAATTTTTTTCCAGAGTGGTTGTACTAGTTTACATTCCCACCAGCAGTGTAAAAGGGTTGCTTTTTCCCCGCATCCTCGCCAACACCTGTTGTTAGTGGTGTTTCTAATGATGGCCATTCTAACAGGTGGAATCTTAGTGTGGTTTTAATTTGCATTTCCTTTATTGCTAGAGATGGTTAGCATTTTTTTATGTGTTTTCTGGCCATTTGAATTTCTTCTTTTGAGAAAGTTCTGTTTAGTTCACTTGCCCATTTCTTTATTGGTTCATTGATTTTGGGACAATTTAGTTTTTTAAGTTCCCTATATATTCTGGTATCAGTCCTTTGTCTGATGTCTAGCGCAAATATTTTCTCCCACTCGTGTGTCTCTTCAGTTTGTAAGACATTTCTTTTTTGAACAGAAGCTTTAGTTTAATGGAAGTCCCATTTATCTATGCTATTCTCTTAGTTGCTGTGCTGCTGGGGTTTCATTGAGAAAAGTTCTTGCCTATACTACTAATTCCAGAGTAATTTCTACTCTCGCCTGTACCAACTTTAAGTTTGGTCTGATATTAAGATCATTGATCCATTTTGAGTTAATACTTGTATAGTGAAAACATGGATCTAGTTTCAGTTTTTTGCAGACTGCTAACCAGTTTTCCAGCAGTTTTTGTTAAAGAGGCTGCTATTTCTCATTGTATATTTTTAGCGCTTTTGTCAAAGACAAGTTGGTTATAGTTGTGGTGGCTTCATATCTGGGTCCTCTATTCTGTTCCACTGTCTTCATGTCTGTTTTTGTGCCAGTACCATGCTGTTTTATTGCTATTGCTTTGTAAGTATGTTTGAAGTCGGGTATTGTGATATCTCCAGCGCTGTTCTTTGACTGAGTATTGCCTTGGCTATTCAGGCCTCTTGTTTTCCATATATTTAATGTTAGGATTTTCAATCTCTCTGAGGAATGTCATTGGGATTGGATGGAATTTCATTAACATGTAGATTGCCTTTTGAAGTATAGACATTTGTACTTGTTGATTCATACCAATCCATGAGCATGGGAAGATCTGTCCACTTCTATGTCTTCCTCAGATTGTTTCTTTTCCTTGATTTCAGCTCTTATTATATTTCTCTCCTTCTATTTTGTTTGGGATTTGCTTGTTCTTCTTTTTCTAGGCTTTTGGGGAGTATAGACATTTTTACTGTGTTGATTCTACCAATCCATGGCATGGGAGATCTGTCCACTTTCTATAGTCTTCCTCAGATTGTTTCTATTTCCTTGATTTCAGCTCTTTTTTTATTATTTCTCTCCTTCTATTGTTTTGGATTTGCTTGTTCTTCCTTTTTCTAGGAGTTTGATGATGTAGCATTAGGTCATTGGATTTGACATCTTCAGTCTTTTTAAATATATGCAACTTCATTGCTATAAAACTTTCCTCTCAGGACTGCCTTTGCTGTGTCCCATAGGTTCCCAGTAGTTGTATTTTCATTTTCATTGACTTCCAGGAACTTTTTAATTTCCATCTTTCAGTCCTTTTTAATATATGCACTCATTGCTATAAACCTTTCCTCTCAGGACTGCTTTGCTGTGTCCATAGGTTCCAGTAGTTGTATTTCATTTTCATTGACTTCGACACTTTTAATTTCCTCTTTTTTTCATCAATGACCAATTTTCATTAAGTAATGAGTTATTCAGGGTTTCATAGCTGTTAGCATGTTTTTGTCTTTTTGTTGTTGTTGTGTTGAGTTCTTAGTTTTATTGCATTGTGATCAGATAGAATGCATAGTATAATCTATCTTCTTCCAATATTGCTGAGGCTCTCTTTGTGCCCTAGGATATGATCTATTTTGCAGAAAGTTCCGTGGGCTGCTGAGAAGAATGTATATTGTGTAGAAGTTGGATGAAATGTTCTATAGACATCAAGTAGGTCCATTTGATCTATGGTATATTTTTATATCTAGGATTTCTTTATTGATTTTTTGTTCAGATGACCTATCTATTGATGATAATGGGGTGTTAAAGTCTCCCACAACCACTGTGTTGGAGTTAATATACGCTTTTAGGTCCTTCAGCATATGTTTAATGAAATTGGGTGCATTAACATTGGGTGCATACAGGTTGATAATTGTTATTTCCTTTTGGTCTATTTCCCCTTTTATTAGTATAGAATGTCCTTCTTTATCTCGTTTGATCAATGTAGGTTTGAAGTCTACTTTGTCAGAGATATATTGCTACTCCTGCCTGTTTTCGGGGGTCATTGGCTTGGTAAATCTTCTTCCAGCCTTTCATCCTAAGCCTATGCTTAGGATAAGAGATAAGTATTGCTACTCCTGCCTGTTTTCGGGGGTCATTGGCTTGGTAAATCTTCTTCCAGCCTTTCATCCTAAGCCTATGCTTATTTCTATCGATGAGATGCGTCTCCTATAAGCATCTATATCCTCTTATATATAAGAGACTCTTATATATCCTGAGTCTCTTTCTCTTTGATATTGTCTGTTTTTGTTCTGAGTTCATTTATCTCTTTATTAATCACATTCTTTGTTTCACTTTGGTGTTTATACATTGCTTCTATAGTTTCTTTTATTTCTTCTTGTGCTTTGTCAAATTCTTTATTTTTGTTGTCTTTGAATTTCTTGAGTGTCTCCTGCATATTTTGGTTAACCATATCCAGTATCATCTCTATAAAATTCTCATTGATTACTTGCAGGATTTCTTCTTTCAGCGTGTTCTTGTAGTTTTCATTGGGTTCTTTGGCATAGTTTATCTTCATTTTGTTGGAGTCTGTATCTGGGTATCTGTTTTCTTCATTTCCCTCTGGTTCCTGTACTGATTTATTATTGGGGGGAAAGTGGTTTCCCTCTTTTTTCCATCTTCTCATCATTGCCCTTGCTATTATTACTGTCCCTGTACTGTGTGTAATTCCATATTGTCTAGCTTGTAATAATAACAATGGTGATTTCTGGTGGTCTGCATCTTCCCAAGCAGTCTGAGAGCTGGCTTATGGCGGCTCATGAGCCCTCCTGGTTTCTCCATTTATCGTGGAGTGGGGATGCTATGCATAGGCTGGGAGTGGGGATGAGTCAGAGTTTTGCTTCTTCTTGGTGTTTTTTCCTGCCAGGCATATCTCCAGTGCCTCTCCAAGATTTTACTTTAGGAAGCACGCTTTCTGCTTCCTCCCTCTAGTCACCATCTTGAAATCATCCATGTGCAAAAATTTTTTTGATTGTATTCTCTGGAACTCGTCATCTTATTCCCTGTGTGGGAGAACCAGCAGTGTCCTCACCAAGCTCGCTCTGGCAGAGGTGCAGGTCATGGTCTATTTTGTTTCTTAAAAAATTGAATTTTGATTATGGTGTTGCCAAAATTACTCTGTGTGATATTTTGCATAATGATAACAAAAGATATTTGGGGGAGGGGAAACACCCCTTAAAATGACTATTAAAACTATTAAATATTTGTTTCCATCCCAGATATTCCTTTCCTTATTTTTGCCTTCCTTTATGGAAGATATATTTTATGTTTATATTGTTGCTGTAACAAATTATGATTAGTTTCATGGCTTAAGACCACCCAGAATTGTTACCTTATAATTCTACAAGTCAGAAGTCTATTCTGATATCCAGCAGACTAAATCAAGGTATGGACAGGCTGTGTAGACTCTTGGAGAGAAGTAGTCCTGCTTACTTGCATTGTTGGCAAAATTTGGTTCCTTACAGTTGCAGGACTGAAGTGTCATTTCTGTAAACTGATGGTAATCCTACTTTCTAAAGGTCACATTCCTTGGACATTTTCCACCTTCAAGACCAGTAACAGCCCATTGAGTCTTTCTTACTTTCCATTTCTTTGAAACATGTGTACTTTTAGAACTTTCCACTTTTAAGGATTTACAGGATTAGATTCGACCCACCCTGATAATCTGGGATTAATACCTCATATGTGTAGGTCTGTTTACCACACATAACATATTTATAGGTCCAGGATCTGAGCCATAGACATCTTTGAGGAGACCATGTTTCTGCCTCCCATAAACAGAATATAGACAGTACCTGACTTTGCTGGGTCAATTTTCCTTTTCTGTGTGTAATACCACTGATCTTTCCCTCCTTGATTTAGTGAATACAAAATACTTGTGAAGAATCAGACTCCCAGGGCTGGCAGAATGGCTCAAGTGGTAGAACACCAGCATGAAGACTTGAGTTCAACATTCCTGCCCCCTCCCCCCTGAAAAAAAAAAGATTCAGGCTCCCTATGGAATTATATTAGATATAATACCTATAGGGAAATTGTAAGAGAAACAGGTTCTAGAAGCACTGAAAAAGAAAAATCAGAGTATTCTTTTCCAAAAGAGAAAGTCTTGTAAGTTTTGTGACTTTACAAAAAATGATCCCAATCCTTAGTATTGAGGTCCTTAGTTATTCACACAGCAGGAGGAAGTAGACCATTGCAAGCAATTAAGGAATTTCCTAATGTATCAAAGAATTCTATGATAAAGAGCCATTCACTTACAGCAATAGCATTCATTAATTTATTAAAAAATTTTTAAAATTTTGATAATGGATGACTTTGTATCTTAATATTTTATTTCTTTCTTACTTAGATCATCACGAAATATGTATATGAGCTCCTGGAAAAGGACTGTAATTTGAAAAAAATCTCTATTCCAGTAAGTCCATTTTTTAAAACTATTTCTTCCAAATGAAATGTTTATTTTCAAGTAAAATGGTTTTCAATTCAGATGTAAACTTTTCTTTCAGGCTAACTGTACTATGTTAAAATGTAAAAGTCCTATTGTATTGATAGTGATAATATAAAAGGCACTTCATTATACATCATCTCTTTGTGTAATAGTAAATAAAGTAATAATCTTCAGGATAAAGGAAAAAATACTGATTTTTCAGACTGTTTTGTAAAAAATGACAAAATTAAATGGATTATCCTTTCTTTAACCCTTTCTTGTTTTGCTGGAGTAATTTATTTTTATTCATTATTTGAAGTAAATCAATTCATTTTTTATTGCATTCGATATTCACTAACTCTTTGAATAGTTTTTGATTTTTTAAAAATGTATGTTTTATTTCCATACATAATATGTTGTTTCCTATATACATTCCCAGTCATTCCTTATACTTCTTATTTTGTAACACTGCTCCTTTCTTTTCTGGCAGAAGATTGACAATTTTGCACATTTTGTTGTTTTTGAGTGAAAATTTTTGAAGCTCAAATTCTCAAAAAAAGCCTTCAGTTTTTAATTTAAGACATGAAATATTAGCCTTCAAATGAAGAATCAGTAATCTCATGTATAAAGTGATGGTTGGACTAGATTAGATGGTTTTTGCTCTCCCTAACGTCTCTCTGACCTTATGATGAATACAAAATCTGGAAGACTTGATGAATATAATTTATTTAATGTGCAAAACTTTTTATAGATAATTTTGCTTGAATGAAATTTTATATCAGATTTTCAGAAATGCTATAAATTGAGAGGTTTGTGGATTTCTTAATACTATCCATGACCACAATTGATTTCATAGTAAAATTTAAAAAGCTATTTTACATTTCATTTTCTACTCATGTTGTTGATCTCATTGTTAAGTCATTAGGTATTTAATTCAATAAATATTTATTTAGGGACCATTCAAGTTCTGCCTATTCTCAGTGCTCATGAGATATTAGTTAATACATTATTCTGTGTAATAGCTTGGCCAATTCTTGGTTTATTTGCAAACTTTCCTTGTTTTAGAAATATGTAAAAGCCTAGATTTTAGTATCTTTTAGACCATGAGTGTGTCAGTAATTTTTTGGATTCAAACTGCTTGTATTAGTTTTGAATTTAGGTCTCATTTCTTTTTCTATCAAACTGAATACTGAAATTTGGTCTTCTGAAAATTTAAGGTAGAATTTTGTCATTTTATCTAGTCTTCCTTTCTTGTTAATTTTAAAATTTCTTTGAGAGTTTCTGAAGGATTATATTTAGATTCTTAGGTATTCATTGATACAACACAATTCATATTTATTCTATAATATTTCTAATTCCGTGGAACCCTTAACCTTACTTTAATCTCTAGATTTAAATATTATCTTGAGATAGTTAGCTGTGTAGATCATGTTGCATATTTAAATTGTATTAATTGTATTTATAGAAAAACTGAGGTTAGGTTGAGCACTTTGTTTTATAAATCTGATTATTTTTCATTTTAAACGTAGATTTTAAAGCAAACAAGCATATGGAGAGATTTATCTAAGACCTAAAATAAGCTTCAGGTCTATTTTTTCTTAATACTTTATGAACTTAAAAATTTAAATTAATATCTTTCATAAATGATGACGTATTTTACATAGTTCTGAAATTTTTTCAGTAATTTTTCTTGAGTTTTTTTTTAATCACAGAGTTAAAAGTGAAAGTGTATTTTTTCATAAGGAGGTATTCTTCTTACTGAAAGAATACTTCCAAACTTTCTTTCCAGAGTAAGAACTTTTAGTTTTATAGTTAAACTACTTAAAAAGGAGCTCCATGCTTTTTAATGACCGCATGTTCCAGAAGCTCATTATTTAAGAGTAAAAATGGTGATCGTGTTTTTAATCTCTGTATTTCACATAAATGATCACAAAATATTCTCTGCTATAGTATTCCATACTGTGCAGAATATTAGACACATGAATTATCTTGCTAACTTCACTAAAATTTTTACTCAGCTTATTACATACATCATGTTTCAATGAAAGATTATAATTTATAGGGTTCGTGAGTACCCCCAAATGAATCTTTGACTCCTAAAAAGTGTTTGTGTTGTCATTGACCTAATAGTAATTGAAGTTGATTTGTGAATAAAGTGAAGTGGTGTACTGGAAGGACCTTTGTGTGTATTCCTTAAAGACAACTTAGTTTAGCTTAATTAATCACCACTATTTGAAGATAAATAGTTGGAAAAGCTTTTCAAAACTTTCTTGGATTATGAAGATAAATTATTTTATTCATATAGATATCTTACTATATAATATATTTTTACTATAATATAGTTATTTTGCTTAGCATTAACTTTTTACAGAATACGTTATATTTATCATGTTCAGAGTCAGTTCTCTGTTTTATTGATGAAAATTACCCAATAACAAACTCAATATTGTGTTTACCATTTAATTATTAATATTCCTAAGTCCTCATTTTCATGTTCATTGTTGTTTTTCTTTGTATATTCTGATATTCTCGTATTTTCAAAGACAGCTTTTCCAATGCTCAAGAAAACCTTTTTTTCATTTACTCATGGCTACCTTAATTTGTATTCTCTTAAAAATTCTGGAGTTGCATTATAATATAAAATGTTTTGTCTTATAAAAATAAGTATTCTTCCAATTACAAAGAAAGTAGTAACTTTCCATTGCTTTAAAAATTAACTCAGATCTCTGCCTGTGAAAAGGGGACCTAGTCAGAAAAAAAGAAAAGAGATAACAATCACTATGTATAGAAGGTCTATAGCTACAGTTGTCTTATTAAAAAAAAAATAGATGGTGATTTCCATGGCCATTCCAGGATCCATTAAGGCCTCATCAACTTTAAGAAAACACTTTATTTGTACAGGTTTAGATGTACTGTTTGGAAACAAGCGTGGCCTCTTTTTTCTTGTACAGTAACAGCTTTGCCTTTTTTTTCTTCTTCTTCTTTTCACTATTTCCTTTTGTTTACTTACTTTAACTGAGTGATTCTTTTGTTTTCATGTAATGTTCTTAGGGAAAAGGGAGTTTTTCTTCTCAGATCTGGTTTTCCTCTGGCTCTCACCTACTTGTTACTGGGTGGCTTCAGTCATAGTTGCTTTTATTGTCATAGTATGATTAGTCTGTGTGTAGCATGTGGGGAAGCTAATGTGATATTTCACTTTATACCCTCTTTCTGCACTTTAATCTCTAATAATAAAGTTATGTTGTTTTACTTCTTAGCATTGTGTCACTCTTTTGAAATTCTTTACAATTATTTATTAATTTACTTTTTATTATATGCTTTCTGAATCAAGGAAGTATTATAACCATTTACAGAGGATGCTTTATTTATTTAAGGCTTTTTATCTAAAGGAAGTCACTGCCAATGCTTAATGAAAGCAAAAGTTTGTTCATTTCTTTATTTACTGAGTACCTATAACATGCCAGGCTCTGTTCTAGACACCAAGAATGTAGGTGAATACAAATAGAGAACTTTTTACCTTTTGGGGCTCACATTCTAGTGGAGAGAGCAGAGGGTAAATAAACAAATGTACAAATAGATGTATAAAGTATATAATATGTTAGATTGTAGTATGTGCTGTAGAAGAAAACAAGACAGGAAATGGAATTAGAGAATTACTAGAGAGGTGTTTGACATTTTAAAGGGTAGTGAGGAAAAGCTTCCCTGAGAAGGTAGCCTTTTTTCTTAAGCCCTATAATTGTTCTGTTCTTGCTGAACTAATCCCCATTTGTGCTCTATTTAGACAAATAGCTAAGCATCTAATACTGACACTAGTCTGATTGCTTTTTAGAAGTAGAGAATTTTTATATTTCTATTGCCATTCATAGTGACTGGGAACATTTAGACTCCAGGGCATTTTTGGTATTTGAAGTTTATTTTGATAACTGTATGAATATATAATGTTGACAAGATGAAAAGCTGGTGTATTACACTGTATGTGGATTGATCTCATTGTGGGGTATATGTGTTACCAGTGACAGGACTGCACAAAAGCTTCCATTCCCAGTTTTTAGCTACTGCTTATGTAGACTACCACTCAATGTGTGCAATATAATAAAAGGTGGGAAGTTATCGCTTCCTTAGTCTTTTATGTCTTTCAAATTTAAATCATACATCATCCAGTTAAAAACCTAAATATTAAACACAATCAAAATGGTAAGAATATTCTCTACTGATCCAGTAAGTAACTGGTACGTAAAGTTATTGGAATGCATAATTAATTGGGATGAAATCCTGTGTTTACAATCTGAATGCAATTTGAAAATCCTCTTAAACAGAGCTCTATGTGTATGAATTTTTAAATAGTTTTCTTTTCCTTCTTTAAAAAGTTTATAATATTCATGGCTTATATATGATTTTCTAATAGGTATATGTTCAAATTGGAGTTTTCTATTTTCTATTGTAGGTGTAATATACTTCAATTATAAAATTTTAGACTTAATAGCTGTGTGACCATTAGCAACTTATTTAAACTTACCTAAGTTGCAATTTCTTCATCTTTTAAGTAAGTATTATTTGTCAAACTTGAGCAAAATTCATGCAAGACTCTATGTGAAAAAACAAATTGAAAGCAAAAGAACTGGGGAAATGGCTTAAATGGTAGACCCGAGTTCAATCCCCAGTAGTGCCAAAAAATTTATAATACTACCACCTCAATAGAATCATCATTAAGTACAAATGTTTTCAAAATAGTCAGCATAGTATCTGAGCCATAGAAAGCACTGAGAAAGTTATTTTTATTTAGGATGCTAACACTAAATAGTAATAATATAAGGAGGCATATTTCAAATTTTCTTTTCCATATATTTTGTATTTAAGTTTTATCTTGGTTATCTACCTAAAATATAATTGCTAATCTCTTGTGAATATTTTAATTTTATCCTAAAGTTGTTTTTAACATTCTAAAATAATCATTCAGTAATTTACAGTAACCACTAGTTGTTTTTTCATTTGTTTGTATGCCTAATCAAAAAACATTTATTTATTATTTAATTTTTTTTAATTACAGGTAGATGCCACTGAAAGTGAACCAAAGAGTTTTATCTTTATGAGTGAGGATGCTTTGACAAATCCACAGAAACTGATGGTTTTAATTCATGGTAGTGGTGTTGTCAGGGCAGGTCAGTGGGCTAGAAGGCTTATTATAAATGAAGATCTGGACAGTGGCACACAGATACCTTTTATTAAGAGAGCTGTGGATGTAAGTGCAATTTCCTTTGTGCTTTTTGTATTTTATGGTTCTGTTTTATTATATGTTATAAATTATTTTATCATGTCTCTTCGAAAAGCATGTCCTAAATATAATCTCATCAAATTGTTACTATTTTACTTGTATGATGACTGTTCTGCATTATTTTGCAGTTATGAGGAAAAATAAAGGGAATTGAGTTTATAAGGACTTAGTTAAAGTATGTGAAATGAATATTTCCTATTCTAATTTTTTAATTACATATGAAATGTCAATTAAACTATCAAATATTCTTCAACATTGAAAATACTTCTCACACAAATATCATGATTTCTTTTGTAAACCTTTGTTTACCAAAATTTAATGAAGTAAGAAACTGAAGGAGATCTCTTAGTTTTAATTAATCTCTCACTATTTAAAGGAATAGTTTAAATAACTCAATGCTTTTTGTCATTTCTTTAGAATATTTTGTTGGCCACAAATAAAATGCTTTAAGTAGAAAACAAATATAGTAAATGGCAAATTATAATATTTTTGAATATTTTATTATTACTTGGAGTCAAAGTTTTTTTAAAGTGTTATCTTAAAACTGTATGCAAGGTTTTCTTTCCTGTAATAGTGAAATAGTTTTTATGACTTACTGTTGTTAATCTTAATGCTGCTATTTTTCTGACTCATTCTTAAGTTCTGCAGTGGATTAGCCACATTTTGCAAAGTATGGACTTCTTTTTACATGTGGGTAGAAATCTTTAGAAAAATGTGGGCATCTTGTATGAAATTTTTATTATAAGATGAAAAAGTATTTAGGAATAGTGTATATGTCCATATATGCTTTGTTTTCTTTATAAGAATGACATTACTACATTTTTGTAATTAAAACTGTAAAGCTTTATTGGATGCACAGATATTCTTTATTCTTTTGACTCTAATATTAATATCAAGTCTCAGCCCATCTTCTAAAATATGTATTTTGTTAATACATTTTAGAACCCTCATACTCTGAAGTTGAGTTTTTTAGATTAAGTATATGTTTTTTTCCCTTTTCATAAACAATGAAAACAAAGAGATTGGTTTTGGTATGACTGCTAACTTCTATTATGTTTTTAGTAGACTTGAAGTAACTAAGTTTTCAGTTAATAAATGAACTAGCTGAATACTCAGTTAATAAATTGAAGTTTAGACTGAAGTAGCTCACATAAATGACATATTTAAAAGTGTTTTGTAGTTAGGTTATAGATAGTGAAATTAACATTCTGTCTGATACATTAATTTGTAATTAGGGTAAGATTCTGTCTGCATTTTAGGAAGAACATATGAAAACTGTGTACACAATTCAGTAAGTCTTTGAAAATAAAATTTAGCAATGAAAATCGGGTGCTGCTGTCAATGAGTGAGTGCTTGGTGAAATATTTTAGGCAGTTACATTATCCCATTTAGAGACCACCCATGCATTGCCAATTCTAGAATATTTTTTTGTTGTGTAAGGTTTTTGAAGTAAAAAGTACATGGGAAACTATGCCAAATATCTGTTTTAGTGGACTAACAATGTCCCCAACACGAGGGTGCAAGTTTTTCAATAGCTTTAGAATACTAAGTCATTTTGTCCTTATAGATAGGAATAGTGTTTTGGTATAACCACATTTCCCTGCCTTGACTTGTCCTGTGGTTTTAGATTATGGCAATTCAGGAAGAAGCTGATTTCTAAATATTGCGGGGTGCTTTTAAATTTTAGTTTTTATACTTTATTCTCATGAATATGAACTTTTTTGTGGTAATTTATTTCATGGTGAGTTTGTAAAAGCAAGTCTCTCTTTTAAATCTAGATAAAGTGATTTTTACTACTTAGACTTTACCTTTTTATAGTGTTTTCTCTGGTAGTTTTTAGGGCTGCTCTGGGTAAAGGGAGTAGGTAAACTGGGAAGAATGGTGTTTTAGGGGAACTGGTACCCTATAGGGAGGAAAACAGTTTCTCATTCTTATTTTGAAATGAGATGAGCTCTGGTTTTGTTTTATTTTTATTTTTTTGGAGTTTTCCTAAATTTTATAGTTTAGAAAATAGTGGGAGCCACTACTTGGTTTTTCATGGGCTATCAATTTTCATATCACAATGGAACTAAATTCTGACATTTTTTGAGACCAGCCTTATCATCTCTACTCAGTGCTATTAAAAATATTTTGGGGTTTTTTTTGGCTGATTTTTGATATAATTAGATGCATATAAATATAATGTGTAACCAACCAACTCTGTCACTGAGTGGACTGTTTTATGAAAAGCATTAAGTTAAAAAAATTTTTCAAGGGGCTAGGGACAAAGGTTAAGCAGGAAAGCACCTGCCTAGTAAGCATAAGGTACTGAGTTCGAACTCTTGTACTCCTCCCCCCCAAAATGTGGATTCACTGTAGTTGAAATGGGGGTGTGAAGATTGGAACCTAAGATTTCTCCCCCAAATTCCCTCAGCGCCATAATCATGGTTTGAAAATCATAGACATTATAATTCTTGCATTTTAGTTACTTCAGAACTTTATTGTAAAAAGACATTGAGATTTTACCTTAGAGGAATGGTGCATATCAGATAAGTCACCACTGTAAGAAATAGTTTATCATGTAGCCAAGCACTATTCATTGTCTGTACTGTTAGAGAGTTACTTATATTTGTTTCTTCTTTGATCTTTTCTCATGCATATTTTTTTGACATTTCTGGTTTTATTTATAAAAGGGACAAGGAAGGTAGATAACACTGAAATTATTTGGATACTCATTGTAGGGTTAGGACAGGGGTGTATAATATGAAGAACTTCAAATTATGACTTTACCCTAGTCCAGGCTCTGACTGATTGAGATGTACTTTAAAAAAAATCTCATGGAAAGCTGGATGTGGTGGCGTATGCCTATAATTCAGCATTGAATAGGCACAATGATTGTGAGCTCAAGCCATCGTGGGCTACATAGTGAGACCTTGTCTCAAAACATCTATCTTGTCAAAATTTACCAGGTATCAGAAAGGGCTTATGTAAAAATAAATTATCTTGTTTCAGTCTTCAATTTTTGAGTCAGAGAAAGTCTGGTTGGGATCTGAGAATTTACAGTTCTGATAATATGCGATGATATTTATGCTGCTAGTCTAGTTACTACATCAGAACTGCTGGTGTTGACCGTACTGTTTGGATTGCTTTAAGGACCCCTCCTTTCCCCACCAGGTTACCAAAATCTACCCATACAAGTCCATTTATAAATGCCATAGTATTTGCATCTAAGCAACACACATTCTTCCATGTATTTTAAATCATTACCGTTTTGCTTTTAATACCTAGTACAATATAAACATTTGCTAGGAAGTAATGATGAGGAAAAATGGTTCAGTACAGGTAAACTTTTTAAATATTTTCTTTTCATGGCTATTGAATCCATACATGAAGAACCCACAGATGGAGAGGGCCAACTTGTACCTTTTAGTCTGTAGGTGTAATCAAAGAATGTGATGGCATTTTTATTTATTAAAACAAGGATTGGGACAATACAGAAAATGTTTTCTAATAGAATCAGCAAAAATTGAACAAGGTGCCAGTGGCTCACACCTGTAATCCTAGCTACTCAGGAGGCAGAGATCAGGAGGTTTGCAGTTGGAAGTCAGCCCAGGCAAGTAGTTTGCGAGACCCCATCTCAAAAATACTTAACACAAAAGGACTGGTGGAGTGGCTCAAGGTGTAGGCCCCAAGTTCAAGCCTCAATACTACAAAAAGAAAAAAATTGAGAGTTTAAACTATGATGGATACTTTCAACATACTGTCTATACGTGATTTATATTCAAACTGACTTAAAATTACTATTTTTTAAATGGAGTCTTTCTGTGTTGATCAGGGTGCTTTTTGAACTCACATCCTGCCTTAGTTTCTCAAGTAACTGGGATTTTAGGAGTATAACACTTTACCTGGCTAAAATTATAAATTTTAGCATTTTCATGAAATGATTGCTTAACTGAGACAGCATTTTTTCTAATTTCATATAGTGAGATTATTCTGACGAATTGGCTACTTTCATAATTACTTATTTTGGATATAAGATTAATACTATGTTTATCAAAATAATTTTATGCAGTTTGGGGTCTATGGCATGGTGGGCTGAGCTAATTACTACAGATTTCCCCTTCCCACTAAAACACACATGAAAATATAGGTACAACATTAACAACAAAAATATTAAACACCTAGTTGTACGTGGTCAAAAGATAGAAAAGGAATCCCTAAATGCCTAAGTATGACAGGAAAAAAAAAAAAAAAAAAACCAAAAAGGTGGCATCTTGCTACAGCTCTCAGAGATAAGGGGAGCAACAGATTGTCCTTTTCTACCCAGGCTAGCCATCCACACCAGAGCAGTCAGTGTCCTACCAAATCCGTGCACTGGTGTTAAGGCTTGCAGGAGGTATGGGCTTATTTTGTGCTAGAATTGCCAATATACTTAGCTTCATCTCCTCCTCTTGGAGCCCAATGGAGTAAGGGGCTAGACACAGGACGGGACCTGTTTGTTGTTTTTGTCTGTTGCCCAGGTTTGTCTGTGCTTTTCTACTGTCATGTTACCTCTTTGTGGCTCCTGATGCTCTTTTCCTTCTCTCTTCAGATTAGACTCTCCTGTGTTACTTGACTAGTCTCATTCATGGAGTTAAAATGGTGGATGCTTCTAATCTGCTGCTTCATCCCACCTCCCCTTTATTTTAGAGTTAGGGTATAATTTAGTTTGGGCAGGGCTCAAACTTCTCTACTCTTGAGTACCTGGGATTATAGATGTAATTACATAGCTGGCCTTGACCTGTGCTTTCTTGATATATCCCCTTATTTTGTTGGAACCATCACAAAGTTAATACAAAATAAAATATGAAAATGCATTTCTGAAAAATGCCTTTAGTCTGCTTGTTCACTTCATTTTAATAATTCAGTAGAAATTGACATTCAGGTTAAAAATAATTTGCATTCTGTATTTAAAGTTTTTATTTTATTGTGTTCCAGTATGAATTATT